AGTTTAGTATTGTACACAAGGCTGTACCAGACACAAGTTTAGTAGTTTAATATTGTACACAAGGCTGTACCAGACACAAGTTTCGTAGTTTAGTATTGTACACACGGCTGTACCGGACACATGTTTAGTATTTTAATACTGTACACAAGGCAGTACTAGACATAAGTTTCGTAGTTTAATACTGTACTCAAGGTTGTACCAGACACAAGTTTCGTAGTTTAGTATTGTACACACGGCTGTACCAGACACAAGTTTCGTAGTTTAATATTGTACACACGGCTGTACCAGATACACGTTTCGTCGTTTAGTATTGTACACAGTCTACTCACATCTCCTAGGTGTCCTCCCACAATTGATTCATGAGTCAACTTCATCACTTGAGTCTGGTATTCTGTTGGTACTATGATCTGTTTAACTTCTCAGTATAACTGCCTTCATAGATTCGGTATAGAACTCCCTTCCGGTCCGCTATTATATAAGTATCCTTCTCATTTGTTTTGTGCTCGACCTTCTCCTGGGCATTGTCCCAAAGTTTCTGCAGTGAAGGCCTTTCTTCTGTGCTTCCTTCAGTTCCTACAAACCTAAATTCGGCGTTTTGACATTTGCAGGGGCTTCATGTCCTGTTTGCTCTTCTTTTCTTGAGCTCTGGTGGTAGCAGCAGATGCTTCATCAATCTTCTTTCTGTCTAGTTCCTCCAAATTTCTACTACCTGTTATGTTTCCTATCACCAAGCCGTGTATTAGTTCCTTGATACACATGGCATCAAGGTTTCCTACATAATATGGAGCCTTCACCTTTATTTTTGCAATGGAAAACTTTCTCACTGTTCCATCAATTAGCACACACAGATGCACCTTGCCTGTCATCTGATCATTGGATACCAGACTGGTTCTCACTGCTGAACTACTGCATCCAGTGTCTCGTAAAACCTTCACTTTCTTGTCCCCAACACATCCTTCACATATTGGCATATTATGACTTGTTGGTATCTCTTGACGTTTATCAAAGTTCCACTCACTATTGGCACTGTTGATCCGTTTGCTAACTTGAGCCAACCATTAGTCATGAACTGATCGATCATGCTTTCTTCTATTGAATTTGACAATAAGTCTTGATTATCTTTCTTCTGGCAGCAGCATCCATAATGCCAGTCACTCTTTCCTTGTTTCTTACCAGCACTGTCTTTGTAACTAGTTCCAGTTGCTTTATGTTGATGTTTCTGCTATTGTTTGCCGGTAATTGACTTGCAATCCTTTTGCAAAGTGTCCCATTTTATAACAAACATAGCATCTCTTCCCCCTTCTGTCTATTACCCTCCTGTCACCTTTGGTAAGCTCCTGCTT